ACGGTGTGGGGCTGAAGCCATGAATGAGGCAGCTCTACACGTGCTGCAAAGTTTTTAAGAAAAACAGCAACAAACAAACAAACATGCATACGGACTTCTAATGTATAAAGAGCATAATAAAAATTCAGAGGTGGAAGAGCTCTTTATGAATACATGCAAAACTATGACTGTGGCGTCCAGAGAGGGGAATCGAGGGTCTAGGGGCAGGAGCAGGTTTACAGCTACTGTAAACCTTGTGTCTACAGGACTTCTAACTTTGCATAAAAACTGCAGAGCAAACTATGCTCATTGATCATAGATAAATCAAAACACCTAAGAAAAGGAAAAAAAGGAAGTGGTATCAATTAAGAGCAACTCAGGGGCCTCCCTAGCGGTGCAAGGTGTTAAGTCTCAGCACTATGAAGCTACTGACAGCCACTGCACCATGAGTTCAATACCGGCCAGGGGGCTGACCCATATGGTGCAGCAGACCTCTCCTGTCTCGCCCGCTGCTCCCCTCAGCAGTGTGTTTCAGTCGATCCACCTGTTCTGCTCCCTACTCCATCTCTGGTGAATCCTCTCAACCCACCATACCTCTGGCTTACACCCCAGTTCTTGTATGCATAAATAAATAAATAATAAATCTTCAAAAAACAAAGAGTAACCTAGATATATATATACACACACACACACAAAACTCAATGCCCTATAAACCGATTAATCAATCCAGCCCTGACCAACTGGCTTTATAAAATTGCAATTTGATAGATAAAGATGAGGGTCGTGCGACCCAGCACACTGGCATTTTGGACAAGACCATTTTGTCTTGTCTAGTAGCCCTGTGCCTGATAGGATGTGCAACAGAATCCCTGGCTCCACCCACCAGTTCAGCAGCAACCCCCCCCCATCCCACCACTTGTGACAAACAAAATGTCTCCAGACACAGGCAAATGCTTGGAGTCCTATCAAGGAAAAGCTGTGCCTTCTTTATTTTCTTTTCTGTCCATTCTGAATAATATAAAGAAGCTTACAGATAAATAATTACAAAAGAACAAAAGTAATTTACAAAGCTTATTCAAATATTTACATGCACATACACACACAGGCACATACAGTTGGGTGCTGGAGCTTTCTGAATGCTGAGAAGGTCCATCATTCTGTTTACCCCCATGAGTTTATATTTGATATTTGTAACCAGAGAAAGGGCCCTGGTTCTCAGCAGAGAGATTTGGGAGAAACGTCTTCCCAACAGTGAAATAACAGGACGTGTTTGGGTCTTACAACTGATAATGAGTAGAACATGCTTTTCCTCTGGGCCGTCTGTTCTTTGATAGTTATTGCCCTTGACCTTCCATGCCCTCTGCAATGCCAGCCAATGTTGCAAAGGCCAACAGCCAATTGTCCCTGCTTGAAGGCCAACTCATGGCTGACATCACCACCCCCTCCTTCCTCCTTGCAAACAGACAGGGGAGCAGTTGTTTCACATGCTTGGCTGTGCTGAGTGGCAGACTTCCACTTCTGCAAAAACTCCAAGAGTGACCCCCCCAACAAAGGATAGTCCACAGGACCAAGGACAAGCCCTGGGCCCTACAGAGAACTCCTTCTCACCCAACACCATTCACAAAAAGAACAGTAATATCCTCTGGACACTTACCCTGGTTCTGGCAAAGGGCTAAGGACATTGTAGACATTACTTCATCAACTCCTCAAAACAACCCAAAAGAGGGCCTCCCCTGGTGGCGCAGCGGTTGAGCGCTGGGTTGCGAGGCTGCCCGCAGCCTCTGCAGCACCAGTTCGATCCCCGGCCACCGGCAAGCGTCCCACAAAAAAAAAAAAAAAAAAAACCCAAAGGAGTAAGTGCAGTAAGTATCACCCCATTTTACTATCTAAGACACAAGGAGGTTAAATGACTTGATCGAGATCACACAGTTAAGAGCTGCAGAGTGCCTGGTAGACTACAGGTCTCATCAAGCAACAACTATTATTACTTTATTATATTTTTTTATGAATTTTGACCTTCCTTAATACTGCCATGCTCCCTTCTACCTCAGGACCTTTGCACAGGCTATGTCTTCTGCCTGGAATGCTTTTCTGCCTATCTTCACTTAGCCTAGAAAGACTTCCCTAAAGTTCAAAATAAGACAGGCCACCTTGATGCACATTCTCATCTACCCTATTCGTATTTATAGCATTAATTGTAACTGTAATTATATTGTTATCTGTGTAATTGTTTGTCTGTCTGTCTCTCCAATTAAATTGTAAGCTCCATGAGATAGGAACTATGTGTCACGTGCTCACCATTGGGTAACCATCTAGCACAGTACCTGGCACACGGAAAGCACTCATTTAAACATTGGCAAAATATATGGATGGAAGGAAAGCCAGAAGGGAGGGGACGAGAGAGAGCAAAGAGGGAGGAAGGAAAGGCGGAAGAGTAACTGAATAAGCAAATGACTGGACCTTAAAGACAGGCAGAATCTTAAGAGATCAAGTAATCCAATCCCTTTCTCATCTCACAATTGAAGAAGTAAGGTTCTTGGCTAAATCGAACAGGAACCAGTGTCAGAATCTGGTCAACTGCAGAAAATTGGTCAGTTCCAGGGACTAGAGGATGTGAGATTTCAGGGATGGCTGGATGAACCAACAGCAGGTACCAAGGAGGATCCCCAATACGGGGTACTGTGTTTGGTGAAGGCACCACCCAACAGGATGTGTGCATTTAAATTCACCCCAAGTACCTTTTTTCCATACTTATAAAATTGGCCTGATTATCCCTTCACAAAGTCTGAAAAAGAAAAAAAATTTTTCACACATCAACAAGCTGTAGACTTTAGATTCAAAATGCCCTTGCAAACCCACAGGAAACGCTGTTCTTGTGTATCATATCGCAGCACGAAGTCCCCACTTCCTTCAGGGGGAAGAGAGAGCCATCTGGCAAGAGTTGGTCTCGGCTCTTTCCCACCACCCCCCTCCCTGCTTAGGGTTCTGCAGAGCGCACCACACATACCTCCCCACCCACTCTGGTCCATCCCACTCTAGCAGAAGCATCAAGCTTTATCCTCAGGTCTCCTCCATTCTGTTTACACATCTAGGCTGTATATGCTATTTATATGTGTTATTTACATGACCAACACCTTGCACGTAGGAGGCACTGGGTGTTTTTGGAGGGATGGGTGGATGGGTGAATGATGCATGGGTTGATGGATGGATGATGAATGGAGATGGATGGATGGATGGATGGATGGATGGATGGATGGATGCAGGGATGGATGGATGGATGCAGGGATGATGAATGGATGGATGGGTGGATGATGCATGGATGGGTGGATCGATGGATGGGTGGATGGATGGATGCATGGATGGACAGTGCATGGATGGATGGATGATGGATGGGTGGGTAGATGGATGACACATGGATGGATGGATGGATGGATGGATGGATAGATGGATGATGCATGGAAGGATGATGGATGGGTGGGTGGATGGATGGATGGATGGATAGAGAACATTCCATCTGGCCTTCAGATGCCCTGACCAACCTTTTACTTAGGAGCCTATGTTTACATATATTCCTTTAATTCAAAAGCTCATCATTAAATATTTTTAAAGAGTTTGATGGAAGCAGTATTAGAATAAGGCAATTTCCTTTCCCAAGTCACCATAAGTGGAAATATTAACATCAGATAAATACAATTTAAAGTATGAAAATATTACATAGGACAAAGATGGGTGTGTTGTATTTGTAATAAATCAATACTAATAAAACAACAGCAGTTTATATTCCACTTTCCTGGCACTGTCTTAAGTACCTTTCATTGACTATATCATTGAAGTATCAAAAAGAAGTTACACTGGCATTACTGTCACCAAGCTTTTAGGAGAATATAAAATAGGCCCACCCTTTGCTAGAAGCAGCCAAGAAAGACTTGAGCTCAGATGTGTCTAACTTCACACTGAAGACTGGACAAAACTCTGATGCTTCAACACAAAACACATTCAAAATATATCAAGTAAAATTTGTTTTTAAAAAGACAGAAATGTGTTGGAAACACCTCCCTATCATAGTGGGGAAGATTCTCATTCCATCCAATCTTTGACAAAGCGGTAGATATAATTAAAGGTATAAAAAAGCATTTAGCAAGAAACCAGGAAGAAATCATAAAACCAAGAAAAGATTGGAGACTGGAACAGGAATTAATACATCAAGAAACAGAATGGAAGGATAAATTTAAAGGATGGCTATTTAAGGGGGAAATTAAATAGTAACTCTGGCAAAGCTCATCAAGAAAAATTTCAAAAACAAAAATAGGAACCTCTCAGTAAAAATGAGAAAAGGTACAAAACTGCAGATGGCAAGATTTTCCAAATCACTTTTTCAAGTTGCTACAGAAAAAATATATATACAATCAGCATGTAGAGGCAAATATATGGTAATAAATTAGAAATTCAATTAAGTGGCTATCCTTGGGAAAACATAACATATTTGGAATTACATCCATGATCACAAAATAAATTGGAAAAATTGTCAAATAACTAATCCCAGAAAAAGCACTAAATCTCAAAGGTGGTTGTACTAGCGAGGTATAGCAAATTTGCTCAAACTTTTAAAAATCATTATAAATACTTTGCCATTTAAATTCTTCCCATGTATTAAAAAACAAGAATATAATGTAGGTTTCCCAGATGTTTTTATGAAAACAGCAAGAGCTTGTCAAAGATAGCAAACCAAAAAAGTAAACTACAGACCAATTTCACTAATAATTATAGGCTTAGAGATTCTAAAAATAATGTGAATAAACTTAACCCAATAACACAGTGGTGGAAAAAAAAAAAAAAAACAAAAACAATGCCAGAATGAATCAAGCACTGAGGAAGGGTATAGTAATACAGGTAGACATGATTGCTGAGTTTTGCTCTGAGCACAGATATTTTTTAAGCAACAATGCTTTTTTCTGCAAGAAAGTTAAAGCAGTGATTAGAACTAGTGATCAAGGGAGAGGGCAGGTGACCGTCCAAAGAGGAGGTTGCAGAATGAGGGTCCAGCGGGTCTCCCAGGCACTGTTTCATGCCTTCAGCTCGACCGCCCGCACTCACATGGCGAACAGAGTGGTGGAGAAAAAGAAACTCTTCCAGGCGGACAATGACCTTCCAGTGCACTTGAAGGGCGGAGGAGCCGACAACATCCTGTACCGACTGACTATGCTGCTGGTTACGGGGGGCACCGCCTACAGCCTGTACTGCCTTGGCTGGGTCTCCTTCCCCCACAAGAAATGAGCCCAAGAAACCTGCAGGACCTGAGGGACATGAACAAGCGTCAATAAATGTGCTGGCTTCTTAGGGAGCCCAACCTAAAAAAAAAAAAAGAACTAGTGATCAAGATAATTTGGAAAGCATGTACTCTCAGTGAGTGTATAAATTAGTTACAACCTTTCCGCACAGCAATCTGGCATCAAAGACCACACTCTGACTCAGAAATTCCAATTGGAAGAATTGTGATGAGTTGACTGTAATGACGGTATAGGCAGGTGCTCTGATAGGTTAGCTCTGGGTGTGTGTTGGTCTACGAGACAGAGGCAAACTTCACCAAGCATAAACTTAAAAATCTTTGTGCATCAGGGCCCGTTTTGCCAATCTAACAGCCATGTGACATAAACAAGGCTGGCTGGCTGGCTGGCTGGCTGGCTGGCCGGCCGGAAGATGCAATACCACAATCTTCCCAAGCAGTCCAGCAGCTGATTACAAATGCATGAGCCAGCCTAACCCAACTCTACCCAGCCCAGCCCAGCCCAAAAGAACTGGCCTTAAGTGCAGACCAGCAGAGCTCAAAAGGTTGTTTTACACCTCTAAGCTGTGGGATGTTTTGTTACACAGCAAAAGCTAACTAATACAGGAACGTATCCTTAGGAAAGACTCAGAAATAACCAGCATAAAGACAGTGTTTGTATTCAGTAATAGGGGCTGCTTAAGTAATGGGTTTAGGTAATGTGGTACCCATTCAATGAAAATGTAGACAGTATTTAAAATCCCTTCTAGAAAAAGATTTGATGGGACAAATATTTGCAATACACCATTTAGTGAAAAAAAAAAAAACTGTAAAACAGTATTAGGGTATGAAACTATTTTGTAAAAAAGAAAGGAAAATAAGTACATATATTTATATGCCTGAAAAAATACTGGAATGACATAAAAATATCAGCAGTGATGATCTTGGAACATGATTTTTTTTTCTGTGCTTTTCATATTTTCTGCCTTGATCATAAGGCAAGGTTCGTCAACAGTCCCTGGACCTCTCGGGGGGCTGAACCTGGAACACTCCGAGCCCTGAAGGACACTACTGAGAAATGCTGGCATGGATGTTAGAAAATCCTTGTCAGCCCAGCTGGGAAAAGCAAACAGCAAGGCATGGAACAGACCGCCATGTTGCTGGCAAAGGCCTCACACCAAGAATAATTTATTGACTCCCAATCCAGAGAGATTTCCTGACTCCCTGCTACTCTTCAAGTCTCAGTCTGTCCTCCAGGCTCCCCCGCTCATGCCCCCACCTTATCTTTCCCTTTATTTACACTTCATGCGGGTTTTCTGAGTCCCTTTCAGGGGAAGAGCAGAGAATCAGATGGAGGCTGGTGGAGAGTTATCCAAAGAGCAAGCACAGCCTAGGCCCAAGGACAGCTCCTGTCACGCTCCATCAGACAGCTCATATTTTAAAAATATGCACAAGGGCCATTGCAATTTCACTGCATAGACTAAGTGATCAAGGAAGAGAGATTCCCAATCCTGCTGAGCTAATAAGGACTTAATAAGATGGTTCCCTTCACATTAGTCAACAGGAGCAAGGACTTGAGGTAGGTGACAGGCTGAGATCTGAAAACGTGAGCAATAGTCTAATTCTGATGCTAACTCAATTCTGAATGTAAGAATTCGTTTCATCTCTCTGGGCCATCTTTTCCTCCCCTGAACAACGGGCCCATGACATCCCCTCAGCTGTGCTAAATTCCCCTAAGAATGGAAAGTTTCTTCTTTTGTTCAGTGCTGCAAACCAGCAGACACTCAATAGCTATAAAACAAAACTATCCTCCTACTGGCCCATGGGGTTCCACACGAAGAGTGGATAAATAGGAGTAAGAACGTTCTAATGGATAAATCATATCAGAAACACAACATATGTGTTTAAAATAGTCAGTATATTTTAAATAAATATATTTAAGGTAGTTTTTTACTAATGTAAATAATATGCTCATCCCTTATGATAAGAGCTCTGAAGCTTGGCAATACAAGGTTTGAGATTCACTGAAGTAAAAATTAAAGCTCGTGACCTTAAAATAATTTAATCCACCGAATCAGCTCTATGGCATCCAGAAGAAACAATTCTTTTAACCAACCATGTTGTCAGTCTTTAAAGTCTGGGACAGCCAGCACAGAAGGGCAAAGGGGGTGCTGTTTCACAACATTCTTAATCCCCCCTTAATTGAGATAATATTGGTTTATAACACTATATGATTTAGGGGAACAGGTTCACACCTTGTCAGGTGGGTTACCACCTCACCCCCACCATCCAAGCCCCCAAAGTCCTTTACCTTAGACCACTGATTGTGCCCCCTCCCACTTCCCCAACAACAACAAAAAAAAAACCACAAAGGAACAGACAAAACTAAACCAAAAAAAAAAAAAAAAAAAAAACCCTAGAAATATAAATGCAGAATTCACAACATTCTTATTGAGACCTAGCGGGGAGAAAAGTAAGCTTTCCCAACACAACTGTCTACCGCTCATTAAAATGAGTGTTGAGGTCCTCATCAAAGGTCTCCTCCCAAGGGCTCCCAGTAACAGGTACATCTTTATCACTGAGACCAAGGGAATCGTGCCACTTATTAACAGACATTTGTTTCAGCAAATGTCACAGGGAGATGTGCGATCCAGCCGTCTCCCAATTTACACACACTTGAGAGCTGTTGGTGATACAGCCCTGGGAGGCGTGGGCTGGGGGCCTGTGGTTTTCACACATTACACTGGAAAGGATTCTAACTGTATGAGAAGGTAGGTTGTGGGATGCCAGCCAAGCTAAACACTGACAAATTCCCTTCTGGTCAGAGCCTGCAAAATCTCTGTGCCATCTTTGGTGGAAGCTCCCTTCTTGGGTCACTATGATGGGCAGACACAGTGTGTCCTCACTCACAAATGGCTCCATTAAGATGTTCATCATCCTACCAAACAACATAGTTCCTTGCAACTGGGCACTGAATCGAGAGCTGAAATCACCCCAACTGACCAGTTACTCTAACTAAAAATGCTATGCTTCAGACCTCCCTGGTGGCCCAAAGGTTAAGTCTCAGTGCTATCACCACTATGGCCTGAGTTGGATCCCCAGCCAGGGAGCTGACCCACATGGAGAAGCAGACCTCTCCTTTCTCGCCCGATGCTCCGCCCAGCAGTATATTTCAGTAGATCCACCTTTTCTGCTCCCTACTCTGTCTCTGGTGAATCCTCTCAACCTCTGGACTTCTGGCCTGCACCCCAGTTCTTGTATATAAAAAAAAAGCATGCCTCATCCTTTTTTGAACTGGGGATTCTAGAAAAAAATATTAATAATAACCCCTGACAAATCCTTATGCTTCCTAGAGATATGCCCAAGATAGGAAATTGGGTAACATACTCTGGGAAATTTCCAAGAGAGTGTCTTCCCCTTAGTTATATTTTTTTATTATTTTCAAAAATAGTATCTAATACCCAAGCTCAATGGGGGAAAAAAAAAGAAGAGCAGAGATGCGTGCACCAACGGTCATACACACACACACAAACACACACACACATACACACAATCATGCATAACGTCACCACTCAATGATAAGCACATACAAAAAGAGTTTATGTTAAACAATGGTATAAACCGATATTACCTCAATTAAATATAATAAAAAAAATAAGAGAACTCAATTCGTTTTCCGCCAGCAGAAGGGGACTCACACACTTACAAGGCTCATGTCCATCCTACCAGCCTTGGCGATCCAATAATATCACCATTTACAGTCTCAACAGTACCAGCTTTGGAGAAGCTATCACAGGATTCTAGACGCAAGGCCAGAGACCTCCATCAGATGCAGTATGTGTGTGTGTCTGCCAATGAAACCCTTCCAGCTATCTTGTAACCACAAGCCTGCTACCCAGTCCCCCCACAGAAACCCCCTCCTGGCAGATGGAGAGTTCAAATTCTTACAGCTAACCAAGCCCAGGCCCACAGGGATGGCCCAGACAGGCTGTGGTTACAAAAAGCAGACATGACTAGGGGGTGGGTACAAAACTGGCAGTTAGGGCCAAACCAATAGCACTTGAGTCAGAGTGGTGGGTTTTGAGGATTTCCCCTTCCCTGATAGCAGCACACACTTAAAATGGGAAATAGTTAGTGAGCAGCATTCAGCTTCCTGAAGAAAGAAACTAGAGAAAAATAATGTTGAATGTCCTACCTCCAAGGCAGCCAGCTCCGGTGGCCTGCTCCTGCTCCAGCTCCTGAGAGTCCATCACCCCCCAGAGGAGGGCCTGGCTTCCCACTCATGAAGCCATCAGGTCCATTCAAAGAGACTGGACAGAGCTGCCTTCAGCTAAGCCACGCTGTGCCTTCCACCCATGCCTCTCACCAACTCAACAACCTCAAAAGCCACTCGTACTCTGCACCCTTCTTAAGAGGCAGGTTGAACTGAACAAGGGTCTTGCTGGCAAGGACACAATACCCACCAAGAAGAAAGGACCTGCTTGAAGTTATTCTCTAAATAGGCCTTGCCACGACCAGGCTAGGAGAATGGAGAAGGGCCTGGTGCCTAAAGAAAAGGGACAGGAAAGCAAAGCAAGTGGGATTCTTAGAGTTAACTGAAGGATTCAGGGTTGCTCAAGAAAAAACTGGGTCTGGGAAGATGCTTGGGTCTCAGCTGTGGAGATAAGGGCTATGGCCACACAACAGCCAGCCATCGGGCCTGCCACCTTCAGGGTGGAGAATCCATCAAGGCCACTGCCTGTTGGCCACTCTAGAAGCCTGTGTGATGCCTTGGGGGTTGGAAATTAGTTCCAGAGCTATCTTGGAAAGGAGCAAAAGAATGTCTGTGGACCCAGGGACCCCCAGACAGAACAGAAACTTCGTTCCCTAAAGTCCAAGATGACAGAGAACTGAGTAAGGCAGAGAATGGGGATGCAGGAAGGTGGACTCTGTGGGACACTCTAGGTAGAGAAAAGACAGGATAGAACATGAGGTGCATGAAGAGAAAAACAATGGCCAGGACAATGACAATCCTTTACTGGGCGCCTCATGGGGCCAAGAACTCCTCTCACCCAT